CGGGATTTAACAACTTTAATGTGCATCAGGTCTTTGTAACTGTTGGATGACTCAACCTTTTTAATGGTAATGGCCTTCAGCAAGTTGAGGAAAGAACAGGCTTTTAGGTAAAGTAAATACACTTAGATCTGCAACGAATAAATCAATTTGCTGCGAAGCTGTGTAGAGACATGTTCCTGTAACTTGTTAATTGTGCTCTTGGGTCCACAAATAGGTTTCTCCAGATGCCGCAAGTTACACGGGGCTCAGATTTGGAAGGATCCTGTTGCCAAACAGGATGAAGGCTCAGAATAGCAGTGCTGCAATGCCCACTCTACTCATCAGCTGACTGCCCGAGAGCCTCCTCTTCCCCTTTTTGCTCTGTCCCAGCATCTCTCCAGACAGGGATTCGAGGTCTGTGCAGCCTGCATGGTTGTAGCTGGTGCGGGGATGCAGATGCCTGCTCCGATGCTGATGTAGGAGGCATCTCCTGTCATCCCCTGTAGAGCCTGTGAATTATCGTAGGTGTCTGGCTGTTTGAGAGGAGCTGTCCCATACCTAGGAGAAGGTTACTGAGAAAGGGGACCAAGGTTTATTATCGAGGAAAGGGGAGAGAGAACGGTCACAACCTGAAGCCGAAGCTTGCAGCCTGATGGAAGATGACAATTTCTCAGGGTCTTGAAAAAATGCCTATGAAAAACGACACAGAAAAGCTTTCGGTTGAGCACTGTCACAGGAGCCCGGAGAGATTGTAGGGTCTCCATCCCTGGAGGCTTTCAAGATCCAACTGAACGCAATACATGTAATGTTTAGGTCGTGTGGTTCATCGGTACCATATTTCATAGCATCCTAAATAGCAGATGGCTAAACAGAACTGACCATTTGCCCAAAATTCTGATTTTATATCGGACTTTTTCTGTGGGCAAGAAGGCAGCTGTGCTTTTGATGGTTGCATTTCTGCTGTTGGTACTGCATGAACCAGCATCGATAACGTTTTAGGCAGAGAATGAATTAAGCCATTCTCACAAAATCGTTGATCTAATGAGTTAATGTCATCCTCTCTGTAGTATTTGAGTGAGTGTGGCGTGCATTTTTGTTGCATTTGTCTTTGGGAACATGAAAGTAATGACTAATAGGCTTCCTCGAACCCAGGTTGTTTGACATGAACAGCAGTAAAAACTTCGTAGCACGTCACGACCTTCTCCCGGCATGTGTACAGATAGTTCAGGATGCTGACTAACATGTGCTGGAGTTTAATTAGCTTCTTCTTTGATTGTTTTTTTTTATAAAAAATGATTTCATTCCGGCTTTCCCATCGAGTCGTGTTGTAGCATAACTCCCTTTTGAAAGGACAGCGATTAGGATTCTTCCAACTTAGCAAAAGATGAATTTTTCAGATTCTACCGCAGAAACAATATGACCTAAATATTTAATCAGGCTTAGCAAAATTGGCTTTTTTTTTTTATTGCTGCAGATTAATCTCATTTCTCTGAGCTAATACGTGTGGTATGTATGTTTTCAAGCCCTTACTTTTTCTCAATAAAGCTGAAGATTTATAACCTTCGTAAAATCTGGCGTGCACTGAGATGAAGATTGTGAATTACTATTATTTAAACATTAATATTTCTTCTTTTGAATCCTGTATATGTAGTTTCAGTCTATATTGTATTTACAGAGAGCTTAGTGTTTAGACCGCTCTTCTATATACCCCGCCCAATTTGCTTCGTTTCTGTGTTGCTAAAAAGACGTTGGCCTGGTGCTGTTTATGTTTTTGCCTTTTATATATTTATTTTAAAACTTCGGTTGACTTCAGTAGAGAAAATATTTACTTTCTGGTTTAAATAAATAAGGATGGAAGTGGCTTTGCATGTTTTGCTTAGTGCTGTTTTCTTGTTCAAGTCTTTCCTTACGGTTTCAAAGAAAGCATATCGTGAATTTTAGCGCTTGTTATTTTTTAGCTGTTCATTTTGCTAAACTTCTAGCTGGTGGCTGAAGTCTTGGGTACACCTCTTGGATTTACGAGGAGTTGAAGTTAAAAATTTGAAGTGATGTGATCACCTAAACCGAAATACTTGCAATAAGTAGCAACTGCACAGTTTGCTTTTCTGGTTTTACTGTGTCATCTGGCAGTCATGTAGGCCACATGTCTTGTTTCTGCTTCATTGTTCCCTAATGATTTAAATGTTTCCTATTGACAGATTTTATTTAAGAGTGCTAGAAACTGCGTAGAGCTGCTGGACAGGTCAGGCTTCCTTCCATCCTCTGCATGTGGGAGCTTAGACACTTTGGCCCAAGAATGGGACAATTTAGGACGTGGAATTTTCTTCGGAGAAATGTGAAAAAGAGCAGGTTTGGAAAATCTTCAGTGAAGTGTAATTTCTTTGTAGGAAACACACTGATAAAGAAAATGAACAATGTCCTCTGAGGACCTCAGGCAGTCAGGAGAGAGATTCCCTACAGCTCTCCGGAAAGCCTCTGCACCCATTCACATGGGATGGGGCTCTGCTGTCACACCAGCAGCAGCACAGCTCCCCAGGGCTGTAGACATCTAATTCCCATTGATTTTAAAGTGTTTCTTTGCCTTTGCTTAAGTAAAAGTCACCAGAAAACCTTTACCAATTTCCAGACTCTGTAGAAAGGACACTTCTATTTGCCTTCATTAGAGCTGCACTACATTAAAAATAAAATGCAGATATATTGGGTTTTTGTTGTATATTTATGAATTATGCTTTTTTTTTTTTTTTCCATGGGCTTGGGTGGCAGATAGTGTGTATAAGAACTTTCTCTTGTGTTAGAGATCGTGGGAGCATCCTTTTTTGTAACTACTGCTGATCCAGACAAATCGAAAAAGCTCTCAGAAAGGAGAGGACCAGAGCTCCAAAATTACTGGGAGGCTGATCTGAGCAGGTGAGAATATCCTCAGAGCAGCCGAGTGTAAGCTTTCACGAGTCTGAAGATCTATGAGAGCAATCTTTTGCCCAGCAATACTGAAGTTTCCCCTCTACCTTCTCATTTTATACCTTGCCTCTGCACAAGATGAGGCAACGCCAGGATCAGGGAAGGAAACGTTTTCACAAATGCCAGAAACTTGAATAGAAAAAAGTTCTCAAGTCTAGTAGTTTACTGGTCTGTACACCGAAGTCAGGTTCTCTGTTTTCTTTTGGAGTATCAAGGTATTTTAGGTACGTTTTTATTCAAAAACGTGTTTTTCATGGTTAGCAAACGAGGCTTTTTCTGTGTTGTTTCTGGTGTTTCATTTAGTTTTGCTCTTTCTTTCAATTCCCCACCCACTGTGCCTGGTGGAAGCTTTTGTGCTGTGCTGGAGAAAGTGAAAGACAAACAAGAAACCCCCAAGTAAACATCCTTGGGAATAAAAGAAACCCTTGGAGATCTCTAAATGCCACTTTCTGACTTTTCTCAGCCACCCTTGATGTCAAAGTGCAAATCAAAGGATTCCAGTGGTGTATCTGAGGAGGGAGTCGGGTGCTTTGACTTGATCCCTGTCAGGTTTGAGCATCTGCATTTATCTTAAAGATGTCTTGCCTTTATCTTCAAGATGTCCATCTTTCCATCCTTGTCATGCTCATTTCCAGCCACTTTGCATTTGGGAATCGTGGATGATCTGATGGAAGAGATGGATTTTTACCAGACAGATTCCTCTAACTGCAGTCTCCCAAGTATTGTTGCTCTTCTGTGTTGGTTTCCATCTGAAAATCTGGTGGGATCCTTTTGGTTCTCATTTCACAGTGGCTATTAAATACAAAGAATATTCTTAATTTAAGATTTATGGAACATATAAGATTTTTTTTTTATTTAATAAGTTTAAACATGTAGATAATATAGCTGTAGTAATATTTACGTAGTGAGAAGACATTCAAAGAGTTGTGGGGTTTTTCTGTTTGTTTTTTTTTTTACTTTCAGTGCCTCAAAAACAGGAGAGTGAAAGCTTATTGTTATGTAAGGTGAAATGTGTATCCCTATGACAGCATTGATGGGAAGCAAAGATAAGTGATACTAGAGCGTGCTCTCAATTTCCTGACATTTAAAATTGTAGTCAAAAAAGTTATGGTGGCTTAAGAATTACCTCCTAGCGGCTGCTTCCTCTGCTGAAAGTTAGCATTTCTACAAACAAACTGCCAAAAAGGGTTTCTCAACTTTCTCAGCAAAGGTAGGTGGTTTATTTTAACCCAGCAGTAAATGGTGATTTCGTCTCCTAAGTGTGTTTTAGCTCCACGTAGCTGAGGGATTAGAGGCAGAGGATTGTAACCCATGAAACGCAGACGATCGGGGTAGAAAATTTTGACTTTTAACCTATAAAACTAGGAAATGATGGCTGTTCATTGGGTAAGGATGCTGCGGACTGGAGTTCAGGTGTCTGTTTCTTTAGTCTGAAGTCAGTGAAAGAGACTCAACTTCAAAAATAACTTGGTCTTCAGTCTCTGCACGTGTAGCTTTGCCAGTTCAGCACTCCAAGGGAATGTCCAAACGGGAGAGATACCCACACCCGGACTGCAGTCGGGCCAGCAAACCTCTGGTAGGAGCACCCTGATGCTTACGGAGATCTGTCTCATCTGTCTCCTGATGTTTAAGGCACTTTCTGGAGGATGTGCCACACACAGTCCCTTGCCCCAGAGTTCCCCTGTGACCTGAGCTATCGCGTACATTTGGGGAATACTCTGTTGGTTTCTTATTGTAAACTTTCCACTTTGTAAACTAGGTTCAAATTCACACGTTTCTATTTTCAGGGCAAACTGAGAGAGGCAAAAGGGCCCAATTATTTACATCTCTAACTTGTGAGACTTGGCAAATCCCTTGGCAGTACTGACAGAAGCAGCCACGGGCTAGCAGTTCCTTCTGTCTCCTGAAACTGTTGTTTTATGCCAAACTGCTGCGTTGCTCACATAGGCATCTTCCATTGACTCTTGGCACGCAAACCTCGTTGGACATGAAAACGTGAATCAGCTTTCTCAAAGGAAAATTCCTCTCTTTCTGTTTTTTCTCCCTTTACCCTTGTCTTTCAGTTATACCTGCCGCCACTTGCGGAGATATGTATATGTCTTGGACAAACTGTATTTCCCCCACTCTCACTGCTCTACGCTGCAGCATTGCTTCTCGACCCTCAGTGACAATGGAGAGGAACTCTTGTCTTTAACTTGTTCTCACATTCTCAGATCCTATGCTTCCAGGTTGTTAACCTCTGCTCTCCGTTTACTGCATGCTGCATGCTCTGTGACTGATCTGTGCATGTTCTGAGTTCATGCTGGATAACGTGAAATGGCACTGGGGATGGTTTATGTCTATGGCATCTGTGGTATGTATCCTAAAAAGGGTGGTAGAAATGGAAGTTCAATTATCTTTTTTTTTTTTTTTTTGATTCAGAATACTTTATCTGTCATCAAAGCTTGAACCCCACTTCTGGAATTAACGCGTGGCCCTCGGGAGTTTTAAATCCTTTTTATGTTAGAGTGCAAATAGCTTAATCCTTGACTATGACATCAGGACTGTGAGCTGTGATTCACAAAGCTTTCACGCAGTTGTGTAGTTTGCTTGGAATTAGGCTGACACGGAAGTGTCTAACGCTTCCCTGATGCCCAATTACTTCAGTAATAATATATATAATTTGTTTTTTGAGAATGAGGATGAACGTTTCCCTCAAACTTCAGTAAATTGTCACGGCACTTGCAGATCCCTCTTAATTTATCTTTTTTTTATATGCCTTATCAGTTTTGATTAAGCCAAAGGAGAGCCCAAGCTAACAAAATAACATCATGTTCATGATGCAGAATTGTAGATGCTCCACAGAAACTGTAAAAGAAGGGGAATTTAAAAATAAATTATATTCGGCATAGGATATTTCCTCTAAGATGTTTATTCCAAGTAAAAAAAAATTAAGTTTTAATATTTCACTTCTGACGCTATGGACAATGAAATATTTTAACCAAAATGCCAGAAGCTTTAGGAAAACAAGTTAAAAAATTGCATGACAAAATTGATGAGAAGATGGAAAGCATCCAGCCTGGAAACGCAGCTTCCCAGCTAAGCCAGCATACAATAGCAGCAGACCACACAGTAAAGCTAAGTAAAACCAGCTTGATTGTCAAGTGAGGAAAATACAACATGCGAGCTGAAATAGCTCTGCTGGTACAAAAGACATTTTATAGTAGTACATAATGATGGAGAGTTACGCTGCAGGATCTCAACAGGAGATGAAAATCTAGCTGTCCCAGGGGGCTTTCTCCGGATTAATTGGGAACAGGGATACAATATTAAAGTAGGAAAAAAAAAACACAACAGAAGATTTCACAGGCTTTATTTTAAAATGAATAATAATCGTGAGGGCAGTGCACACCAAAATCTTGTTAAAGACGGGATGTTTTACATGTAGGAATACCCTGAAAACATGAAAGAAAGAGATGTCTTAATTATCCCAGCTTGTTTAAATGAAACTTTGGTGCTCTGCAATGGAAACTCTACAAAATTCTGTTGGCAAAGCCCTGCTTAGGAGGCTACGTGCTACCCCATGGATATTGCATCCTTTAAAAAGACTGGAGATGAAAGCACCAATTAAGGCTAACGCAGGTGGATTTCGTGTGTAGTCCTTCACCTGCAGACTGCTGACACTTTCTGCTCCTCTGTTAATATTCACGTCTTCTGAAACGTCTTTGGTTTGCCTGGTGGCTTGATGGATGAAAGACAGCATCAATAACCATAGACTCTATTTCCATATAGCAAGCTCGTGACGTTTTTAGAGCAGAAAAAAAAAAAGAAGGCATACATATAGCAGTTTTTAGTAGATAATTCTTTTTTTATTGTTCTGATTATGTATGATTAGAAAATTCAAACGACTTCTAGAGTTTGTACCCAGAAAGATTACCTGCATCAGGCTGGAATTGGTGTCAAATATAGTGGCATAATTAGAGCTGGAAAAAAAAAAAAAAAAGGTGTTTTCTTATGTGAATCTTTGCATGCATCCTGTATTAACCACAGTGCTTTTTCACCCTGTGAACGACCTACTCGTAATTTACGCATTCCATCTCTCCTCTGAAGGCAGGACAGTGATTAATTACGATGATTTACAAATTGCAACCTTCCCACTGCACGCCTTTTTGCGGGACTGCTGGTAAAAACCGTAAGTCTTTGCCTTGATGAGTGTTGTTCAAGCTACTACGGATTTGTGCAACACATTGGTCCCCTGTCAAACCTGCAGACACATCTGGTGGCTTTCTTCTAAATTTTCAACCAGAGGAGAGACGATGCCTATTTTACTGTGCATTAACATAACGTAAATACCGAAAGTGGGATTGTCATCTGTCATTGCTGCTGTCTGATATTTCTCTTGTGGCCGTGATTATTGTTGTAACTCTGCCTGGTGATGTGGAATATTTTCTCTCACTCACACCTTTTGAATTGCATGTTCCTTGTGTGATGTTTTAATGCTCGTGGGTGTTCCTTGTCTTGTTTTAAACCTGTTTTCAAGCTGCAGTCAATCCCAGGAAATAACTTTTTGAACATGAGACCGGCTTAGTGCGTGTGCTAGCAGCTAACGAGCAATGATTTGTTTTGGGATGCCGAACAAATGAAGGATGGTTTTATTTTCAGAGCTAGCTCGACATAGTGTGAAAGCAGGAAATACGCTTTTGCTGAGCTTCGTAAATTGAGGAAACATGTTCGTGAAGCAGCAGAGCAAAAGGAAAAATTACATGGATTCATGTGAATTAAGTGTTTTTTTTTTTGTTTTATTTTTTGCCCGGGGAAGAAAGGCAAAAGCAACGCGATGTCAAATTTGCACGGTTGATCCATTTTGCGTATCTTTTATTACTTAATGCTAGGTTTGTGGAAAGAGCAAAACATATCTAATAAGATTTTAATCCCCCCCCCCTTTCGGAAGTGTTTTGGCACGTTGTCTGAAGCCTGTAGCGGATGAGCTTTGCAACCATGTTCCTCCCATGCCATCAGAGTCAATGGAATTATGCAATTACTTTAATTTAAGAATGTGCAGTCTTTGCGGGATCGGGGCCTTGGAGGTTAGCTTTGAAAAACACTGCTGATTACCAGGAATGTTTCTGTAGCTGCAACGCGATGGCGAAGTACTGCTTCAAGCCAATTTGTGTTCATTATCCGGGTTCAAACTTTTTTTTTTTAACCCCAAATGGGAGCTGTGGGGGCTGGATTCCAGGGACATATAGACCGTCCCGCGTCATGATGCAGGTTACTGGCCCGACCTCGAGTACAAACAGGAAAGGTGGCAGAGTCCTTGAAAAGAGTGAAAATGAATAAAAACAGTCGGGAGTCTGACATGTTTTCTTTGGCTTTAGTCTCTGCAGGGAAGATTGGGAGAAAGAGATGAGTATAAACGCAACTGAGCTCTGCCTTCTGCTGCTGTAAGAGGGCTGACAAGTCAACGAGAGGAGCAATATTTCTTTGACTTCAGGATCTTTTGATGGAAAGGGGTCCAGGTGGTGTGACACCTTCGGTATAAAGTCCCCCCCGGCAGCGTGGAGCAGGCTTTGGTCCAGGGTTGTGGGTGAAAACAAAAAGGCTGTAGTAAATTGCTGGGGGCGGATGAAATTGAATGAGATGGAAAGCGTTTCCAAAGGTGACAAAATGTCACTTTTGCAGGAAAAGTGGGCTCTTAAGTGCTTACGTCCTGCAGAGCTGCTTTGGAAGATAAGACACGTGGCTCCCCCAGTCACGGGAATTACTGAAAATCTTTATTAGTAAATAACTCAGTAAAAAATCTGCGAGAGAAGCAAAGTAATTTGTGATGGAGTAATTGGACCTCATCTAAAAACCTTTGAAGTCTTAATGAGTTTTAGTAAATGGCTTGTTTTTTTCTCACTTTTTCTGCATAGCCTTGTTTACATCGTAGGTTTCAACTGCTCTGTGCACGCTCTGCATCCACCAGGCCAGAAGGCTGATGAGAACATCATTGGTACCCATTCAGGAATTTCAATCCCATTGCATTATCATCGTGTATAATTATGGGTTGGTTGGGATTGATTTTTTTTGAGACGTGCTGTTATTCATCCAGCTTCTAACATAGAAGCTGGAGATTACACGTTTTTGTGTCAATTGACAAAATCTTTCTCTCCAAATACCTCTAAATCAACATTTAAAAAAAATAAAAAATCATCATGATGAGTTTTACTTTGAGTAAAATCATCAAAGCAAAAAAAAAAACAGTTAAGCTAATATTTCTTTGAGTTATTACAATTTAAAGTTTTACTGCTTTTTGATCTTTTTGATTGTGATTTTTTAGTCAGCTGCTGGTGATTTTCTTGAAGAGTTTTTTTTTTTTTTTTTTAATTATGGAAAGATCACTTCACACTCAACGTCGAGTGACTTGGCAGAAGGAAATTGTTTATAAATTCCTTGCAGATTATTTGTCTGCGTGCTGCACGGCGTATTGATCAAGAAACCAGTGAGATATAAAATCGATGCTGCGGGTAGGTGGTGGGTGAGAAATACAATCTCAAAATACAGTTCAAGTGGCTTTTCATCAAGTGGCTGCATGTCTACTGGAAACTCTTGTGCACTGGTTTATTAACTCCAATTTAGAACAACATACTGAGCAGAGTTTTTAGGGAATTAGCGATCAAGGAAAGGGAAAGATTGCTGATACCAAAAGGAGATGAAAAGGTAAAGAAAGTTTCTAATAAGGGGCCCTTCTGTTCAGCATGCACCAATATAGTGCACTCCAGGAGCTGGAAATTGAAGCACAACCAATTCAGACTCGTTCACATTTTCTACGTGGTGGATGATTCATTGGAATAGTTTAACAGGGGTTCTGGATTTCCCAAGATTGGACTTTTGAAATGAGATTGGATGTTTTCCGAAAAGATACGGCCAAGTCCAGCCACAGCTATTGGACTCGGAGAAGGAAGTTGCAGAGGGAATTCCTATGGTTTGTGTCAGACTAGCAGATCAAAGGGGCTTCTTTTGGCTTTAAAAATCTGAGTTACAGGCAGATTGCCACGCAGGACTTTGTTATTTTGTTTGTCTTAACGGTTTTTGTTAAAAGACTTCGTGCTGATTTAGAGTTTTCCTGTTGATACGGATGCTGTCATCCCAGGTACTGCCCCCCAGGTGAACGGACCCAAACAGTGCAAAACAGCACAGGCTACCAAAGCACTGCATCCTCCTGCATAAAAAATAGAAATAATCATAAGAATTATTTTTTTTAAAG